AGTCCCAGGGGTGCTGTGTGCCCTCCTTTCCTCTCCAGTGCCATCACCGATCCCTTCTGTTTCCTTCCCCTTGCACATCCTTTGCACACTCTTTTCTCCTTTCGCAGCCAGTCCTGAAACAGACACTTGGGTTCTTTCCCTAGACAACCTCAGGTGACTCATTATTCTCCCAGCCCACTTGAATCAGAATCAGGTGCATCTGTACCACATTCCAGGTCGTCCGTCAGGGGCCTGTGTTACTGCCACATGACTGAATCAGTGCTCTGTCTCCATCTGGCTTGATTCTGAGCAACTCTAGGCATGACTGACTGCCTCTTCCTTGTAATGCATTCTTTACTTCAGCTAGAGAGAAACACCCTTACTTCCTTTTCCTCCCGCCTTCATGGCCAGTGCTGCTCTTTTGCTGGGCTTTCTTCTGTTTGACTTCTCAACCTTGACATTTTCCTGGGCTCGGTCCTGGGACCTCTCCTTTTCTCTAGCTTCATTTCTTTTCCCAAGTGGTGCCTTTGGATCCATCACCTGAAATCCAATCTAAACACTTACTACTGCCTTTGTCCTTGGCCACAAGCAGTAGGTGAATATATGTAGCACCTTATTGGATCTCTCCGTTTGGAAGTTTTCCTGGGCATTTCAGAGTTAACCTGTCTAAAATAACAGCATTTGCTTCTCCCCAAACCTGATGAACTCTTGGTCTCCCCCTTCAAATGAAGCTGGGCATTGACCTTCATCTTTTCAGCTTGCAGATCCCCACTATCACTAATAGTTGTTTTTAGTTACAGCTCTAAAATGTGTCCCAAACCAGCTGTCTCCTCCTACACTGTTACCTCTCCAGCCTAAGCCACCCTGTGTCCCCATATGACTGCTGTTGTACCCCTTTCCCCTGCTCAAGGCCTCTCTTTCTCACTCTTTTTTCTGCACTGCAGCCCAAGTAGCCTTTTAGAAAACCTGAATCAGGGCTGGCGTCGTGGCTTACTTGGTTAATCCTCCACCTGCGGCACCAGAATCCCATATGGGCGCCGGGTTCTAGTCCCGGTTGCTCCTCCTCCAGTCCAGCTCTCTGCTGTGGCCCAGGAGGGCAGTGGAGGATGGCCCAAGTGCTTGGGCACCTGCACCTGTGTGGGAGAACAGGAAGAAGTACCTGGCTCTTGACTTTGGGTCGGCATAGCTCCAGCTGTAGCGGCCATTAGGGGGGTTAATCAATGGAAGGAAGACCTTTCTTTCTGTCTCTCTCCTTCACTAACTCTATCTGTCAAATTAAAAAAAAAAAAGAAAAAGAAAACCTAAATCAGATTATATTGCTTCTCTGTTCAGCCAAAGACTGTGAGAAAAGAAAAGCACTCTAGCACTGAGAAAAGGCAGTTATGTTGGCCTTACTGAGGGACAGAAGGGAGTTTTCCATGGCCACTGAGTAAGTCCACTTCCCATGACTATAACAAAATACCTGAGCCTTCATACCATATAAAGAGGGCCCCTTCCCCTTGGTTCTGGAGATCCAAGGCCAAGGGTCATATCTGGTTGTAACCTTCTTGCTGGTGGAGTTCTGAGGTAGTGCAGGCTGTACATGGCAACAGACAGGGTGTGCACATGTGTGTCTTTTCTGGCCCCCCCCTTTTAAAAATATTTATTTATTTTACTTGAAAGAGTTACACAGAGAAGGAGAGGCGGGGGGCGGGGAGGGGGAGAGAAAGAGGTCTTTCATCCGCTGGTTCACTCCCCAATTGGCCGCAACAGCTGGAGCTGTGCCAATCCGAAGCCAGGAGCTTCTTCCAGGTCTCCCCATGCGGGTGCAGGGGCCCAAGGACTTGGGCCATCTTCTACTGTTTTCCCAGGCCATAGCAGAGAGCTGGATTGGAAGTGGAGCAGTCAGGTCTTTTTTTTTTTTTTTTTTAACTTTTATTTAATGAATATAAATTTCCAAAGTACAGCCCCTTTTCCACTCCCTCTCCCCTTTCATTCACATCAAGATTCATTTTCGATTCTCTTTATATACAGAAGATCAGTTTAGCATACATTAAGTAAAGATTTCAACAGTTTGCTGGTGGATTCAAACATAAAGTGAAAAATACTGTTTGAGTACTAGTTATAGCATTAAATCTCAATGTACAGCACACTAAGGACAAAGATCCTACATGAGGAGTAAGTGCACAGTGACTCCTGTTGTTGACTTAACAAATTGACACTGTTGTTTATGGCATCAGTAATCACCCTAGGCTCTTGTCATGAGCTGCCAAGGCTATGGAAGCCTTTTGAGTTCACTGACTCTGATAATTTTTAGACAAGGCCATGGTCAAAGTGGAAGTTCTCTCCTCCCTTCAGAGAAAGGTACCTCCTTCTTTGATGACCCATTCTTTCCACTGGGATCTCACTCACAGAGATCTTTCATTTAGGTGTTTTTTTTTTTTTTTTTTTTTTTTCCCCCAGAGTGTCTTTGCTTTCCATGCCTGAAATAGTCTCATGGGCTTTTCAGCCAGATCTGCATGCCTTAAGGGCTGATTCTGAGGTCAGAATGCTGTTTAGGACATCTGCCATTCTATGGGTCTGCTGTGTATCTCGCTTCCCATGTTGGATCATTCTCTCCCTTTTTTCTTCTATCAGCTAGTATTTGCAGACACTATTCTTGTTTATGTGATCCCTTTGGTTCTTAGTCCTGTCATTATGATCAATTGTGAACAGAAATTGATCACTGGGACTAGTGAGATGGCATTGGTACATGCCACCTTGATGGGATTGAATTGGAATCCTCTGGTATGTTTCTAACTTACACAAAAATTCACTCAACATGGATTAAAGACTTAAATCTACGACCTGACACCATCAAATTATTAGAGAGCATTGGAAAAACCCTGCAAGATATAGGTACCGGCAATGACTTCTTGGAAAACACCCCAGAAGCACAGGCAGTCAAAGCCAAAATTAACATTTGGGATTGCATCAAATTGAGAAGTTTCTGTACTGCAAAAGAAACAGTCAGGAAAGTGAAGAGACAACCGACAGAATGGGAAAAAATATTTGCAAACTATGCAGCTGATAAAGGGTTGATAACCAGAATCTACAAAGAAATCAAGAAACTCCACAACATCAAAACAAACAACCCACTTAAGAGATGGGCCAAGGACCTCAATAGACATTTTACAAAAGAGGAAATCCAAATGGCCAACAGACACATGAAAAAATGTTCAAGATCACTAGCAATCAGGGAAATGCAAATCAAAACCACAATGAGGTTTCACCTCACCCCAGTTAGAATGGCTCACATTCAGAAATCTACTAACAATAGATGCTGGAGAGGATGTGGGGAAAAAGGGACACTAACCCACTGTTGGTGGGAATGCAAACTGGTCAAGCCTCTATGGAAGTCAGTCTGGAGATTCCTCAGAAACCTGAATATAACCCTAACGTTCAACCCAGCCATCCCACTCCTTGGAACTTACCCAAAGGAAACGAAATTGGCAAACAAACAAGCTGTCTGCACATGAATGTTTATTGCAGCTCAATTCACAATAGCTAAGACCTGGAACCAACCCAAATGCCCATCAACAGTAGACTGGATAAAGAAATTATGGGACATGTACTCTATAGAATACTATTCAGCAGTCAAAAACAACGAAACCCTGTCATTTCCAACAAGATGGTGAAATTTGGAAAACATCATGCTGAGTGAATTAAGCCAGTCCCAAAGGGACAAATATCATATGTTCTCCCTGATCGGCGACAACTAACTGAGCACCAAAGGGGAAACTTGTTGAAATGAAATGGACACTAGGAGTAGTCAGGTCTTAAACCAGCGCCCATATGGGATTCTGGTGCTGTAGGCAGCAGCTTTACCCACTACGCCACAGCGCCAGCTCCTCTTCCCCTTCTTATAAAGCTAGCAGTGTTCATTCATGGGGCACCATCCCGATGACCTTATTTAATCCTAATCAACTCCCAGGGGCCCCACCTCTGAACACTGTGATTGGAAGGTTCTGCCCTCCCATAGTACCTCCCAGAAGGAATTAACTTTCAGCAGAAAGCTACTTCCCTGACCCTCTCAGCGTTACACTTGGCAATAAGAAACTAACAGCCTGTGAATTGTGACTTCATGTAATTGAGGTGTAAATAAAGTGTAATCTGTGCCGTGAGGTGGGGGTTCACTTGGGTGGTAGGCATTAGGTAGGCTTGTAGATTCTCAGTGTGCTGACTGTTCAGGGGAGTGGGTAGAAAGCTCTGGGGAGGCAGAGATGGGGACTTGAACAGAGGTGCAAGCTGCTTTAGGGTTACCTCTTTTGGAGTATACCAGGTACCTTGGATGTGAACCTTGATATGTAGATTAGAGAGGGTAGCAGTGGAAATGAGACTGCAAAGGTAGGTTGGGCCCATTTTGAAGAAGTTGAGTTTAGAGTTTGGATGAAAGGAACTGTCTTGAGAACATTATAGCAGAACTTATTTTCCAGTGAATAAGTTCTTTTTTCTTTTCTTTTCTTTTTTCTTTTTTCTTTTTTTTTTGGTTAAAGATTTCTTTATTTATTGAAAGTGAGAATTATATAGAGGGACAGAGAGAGATCTTCCATTTGCTGTTTACTCCCCAAGTGGCTGCAGTGGCCAAAGCCGAGCCAGGTCAAAGCCAGGAACCTGGAGCTTCATCCTGGATTAGAAATGGAGCAGCCTGGGCTTGAACCTGCACCCATACGGGATGCTGGCACTGTAGATGGCGGCCTAACCTGCCATGCCACAGTGCCAGCCCCAAGTCGCCAGTTCTTTCACTGGTTTCTAGGGAAAGGAAACCCCCAGGGTAGAAAGCCTGAGCCACCTGATACTTGGAAATCTGCTCCATCTCGCAGTAGGCAGGCCCTGGTGCATCCGGGCAAGCATGGTGGTCAGTGCTCTTTGATGTGAGGAGTAAGGAAGGTAAGGTGCTTTGATTGCTAAAGGAGTCAACTCTCATGTTTCCTTTTCTTTGAAGAGATGGGGAGGGAAGGTAAGAATGCTGTGTTAAGTGATCTTTTTAATACTTTTTATAGGATTAATCACAATGAGCGGTTGGAGTTCCTGGGTGATGCTGTTGTTGAATTCCTGACCAGGTGAGTAGCCTTCTTCACAGTTCCCCAGTGATTACATTTTGTAAGTAACATGCTTATTGCATTACCTTCTTTGTAATTAGCCAAACAAGGCATGGAAACATCATGTATTTTGTCTCTTCAGTGGAGCTTAAAAGCCACACATCTGTGGCTCTTGCCCTGGTGACTTGTGCTCCCTGGTGCTGTAGTGAGTGAGATTACAGGATGAAAGGCTGGTCTCTGGCCTGTCAAGTGTACGTTAAAGTTGATTACTGCCACAGGAGATCAGCGGGTCTTGGTCTAGAAGCCTCGGAGCTTATATTCAATTTGCAAAGAAAAGGATGATATTTGAAAATGTCATTTCATCTTCTAGGATTTGTCTTTGATCCCCTTCTCACTCTTTCTGATCTCAAGGGAAATAAAGTTTACAAGTAATTTTAATGACTAGATTTTGGGGTGTGTGTGTAAGTATATAAGTAAGCATGTGTGTTTTAGGATCCTTAATTTAGAGGTAGGGGTAAGAGAGTGCATTTGTTTTGCCATACTCATACAATTTCTTTTTTAAAACGAGACAGAACATGCTTTTATTGGAACTCTCCTGAGCTAGTTTTATTCTCTTTTGGTCATTTCTTTTCACAAGAGGACATAACAGGGAGAGGAGGCTCCCTTCTAAGCCTCGAAGACTCAATGTGCTTAGCTGCCCTAATTAACTGTGGATCTTATACAATGGTGTGAGATGCAGGAGGGGGTCAGTGGCTTTACTGTGGACCATTCTGGTTATCCCCGTAGTCCTCTGTTCAGTTCCCGCCCTTTGAAGATCAGCTCTTGCAGACTCACCCTTACAGCAGAGCCAGCCACCTGTGCCACTCTGAGTTCTGCTCCTGTCTCCGTTTGTGCTTGTGAAGAATATGCCACCTCTGTGCCCCTACCACGGACTTCCCAGGATTCTCTCCAGGGTCCACTGATAGCCCAATCCCAGGAAAAACACTTGTTTCTAGTCCCGGTTGCAGAGTATCAGATCTGTTTGCTCTGAGCAGACATATACAGTGTGACTGTTTGAGTCTTTGTTGTCAGGAGATTTCAGAGAAATATATATGGAAATATAAGGGAATGGTGCCATTTGGGTTTTAACACATTTGAATACACTGTGCTTCCCATTTAACTTCCCAAGACCTTGAGTCAGCCCAGCTGTATTCTGTGACTGAACACTGCAGACACACCATTGTCCGTCTTATTTACCAATGGCTTTTTTTCCTGCAGCGTCCATTTGTACTATTTGTTTCCCAGTCTGGAAGAAGGAGGACTGGCAACCTACCGAACGGCCATCGTTCAGAACCAGCACCTAGCCATGCTCGCCAAGGTAGAGTAAGCGCCTGAACATGCATTTCTCTCATCCACACCTAGTTCTGCATTTGACCAAGTTACTCTTAAGGGTGGATTAAGGGTTTGCTATTTTATAGACCAGAAAGTATGTTTTGTTTGGATTCTAACGATTCATCCTTATTAGTTCTGTTACCTTTGTGAGTTTCCACCAGCAGTTAATGAATTGCACAGTGAGGTAACTTGAGAACAGATGAGGAAAAACTTGACAGATGTACATGAACAGGGTTAAACATTTGGGAGAAAGGAACAGGGGAACAAAGCAAAAGGAATGAAATATTTTGTATTTTCCCTTTGTGTAATCTTTCTGTATTACATTTGTTTTTAATTTACATTAACAAGCGGAATTATAGCTTTGAACAGAATACTCTGGACAATTTACAGCTGCAAGGGATACTTTATAGATCTTTGAGCTTCCCCCAAATCACATATCCCATTAATTAAGATTTAGAGGTTATGCTGTCCAGCTTGCCTCGTTGAGCTAGATGAGTGACTAACAAAGCCTCTTGTTGGTTCAGATTCATGCCAGGCACTATAGTCTGATATGTTTCCATGTTTGGGTAGTGTCTGATGGTAACAAATCATAGTAGATTAGAGCAAAGACATTTGTGCTGACCCTATGATGGATCTAGTCCATACCCTTTCCCTTACAAACAGGGTACCCCAATGCAAGTTGTCTTCCCCAAGCCTTTACTCTCGTGTCTGTAAAATGGAAACAGCGTTAGCACCTGTTACACAGCTTAGCTATGAGAATTAAATGAGATTATTAGCTTTAGTATTTATTTAGAAAGTATTTGGCACAATACATCACACAAAGATATTAGTAAACTTGTAGGAGCTAGTTAATTGCTTTTAAGATTTATTTGCTTATTAAAAGGCAGAGAGAGACAAGAAAATGCGGAGGGGCTGGTGCTGTGGTGTAGCAGGTAAAGCCGTCACCTGCAGTGCTGGCATTACATATGGGTGCCAGTTTGAGTCCTGACTGCTCTACTTCTGATCCAGCTCTCTGCTGTGGCCTGGGAAAGCAGTAGAAGGCCCAAGTCCTTGGGCCCCTGCACCCGCATGGGAGACCAGGAGGAAGCTCCTGGCTCCTAGCTTCGGATCGGCGCAGCTCTAGCCATTGTGGCCAACTGGGGAGTGAACCAGCGGATGGAAGACCTCTCTCTCTCTGCCTCTTCTCTCTCTGTGTAACTCTGACTTTCAAATAGATAAATCTTAAAAAAAAAAAAAAAAAAAGGGAGGGTGGGCCCAGCGCCGTTGCTCACTTCGTTAATCCTCTACCTGTGGCGCTGGCATCTCATATGGGTGCCAGGTTCTAGTCCCGGTTGCTCCTCTTCTGGTCTGGCTCTCTGCTGTGGCCTGGGTGCTCGGGCCCCTGCACCCGCGTGGGAGACCAGGAGGAGGCACCTGGCTCCTGGCTCTAGATTGGAGTAGCTCTGGCCATGGCGGCCGTTTGGGGGGTGAACCAGCGGAGGGAGGACCTTTCTCTCTGTCTGTCTCTCTCACTGTCTAACTCTATCTGTCAAATAAATAAATTAAAAAAAAAAATGGAGAGAAAGGGAGAGAAAGTGGTCTTCCATTCACTGGTTCAGTCCTCAAATGGCTGCAACAACCAGATCTGAGTCAAGCCGAAGCCAGAAACCAGGAACTCCATCCAGGTCTCCCACATGGATGGCAAGGGCCTAAGCATTTCTGTCATTTTATGCTTTCCCAGGCACATTAACAGGGAGCTGGATTGGAAGCAGAGTAGCCAGAACTCAAACCTACACTTCAGTATGGGATGCTGATATTGCAAGCAGTGACTTAACCTGCTGCACCACAATGCTGGCACCCCCTAGTTATTTTTATTGCTGCTACTGTTCTTATGACAGATCCTTAGATTTTAGAAGATCTTTGGGTTTATTCAATAGCACAGAGAACTGGGGGCCTTAAATGCCCACACACTGGGGATTTGCTGGGAAAGCTTTTATGAGTGGTTTTTCTGTAAAATCCATCCTAGTTTTCTGACTGATTTCGTAATTCATATTGCCAAGGTGTTATTGTACTCAAAATGTGGTTAGTTTAGCTGATTTGTGTTAGTGAAAATGCATTGTTTCATATAATACTGTCATCATAGTTAGAGCAGTAGGCTTTGAACTGGCTTTAGTGGCAGTTGAGAATGTAAACAGGGATGTCTTAATGAAAACCTTTAGGCAGCAAGGTAAGCTAACCTCATTTTAGCAGCCTCACAATGAATGAAATTCCACAACTTCGTGTAAAACTGCCTTGGTGTTTGGTTGATTTAATTGTCACAGTGCTTCTTGGTGCTCACGTAAATGCCATTGGAAACACTAATAAGTAGACCATCATTCTGTCCATCATTGTTTTCTTTTTGGTTTAGGATATAATGGAATTGCATATACAAATTGTGGGAAATTATCATAGCATGCAGACAGAGGATATTACAAAACATTGTGTGCTATATAAAGCTGTGGATAATGAATGAAAGGGGTCGCCAAGTTCTCCCTTCGGGGATTTCTATAAGGTCTTTTTCCACCAAGGCCAAGCCTCAGCGTTCCCAGAGCACTCAGCTCCAGCAGAAGGCTGTGGCAGTCCTGCCTCCTTCTGTCTGCGACAGTGGTCCTTAACTACCTGGGAGTGAGGGAGAGTAATGGGAAATGGGAAATCATTGACCCCTTGAGAATGTAATGAAAGCTCTGGGTCAGCCTTCAGATAGATGAACATGTTAACCATATACATAGTAGAATACGACTCTCTCTTTGTAAAAAGTTCCCTGGCCGGGCCGGCGCCGCGGCTCACTAGGCTAATCCTCCGCCTTGCGGCGCCGGCACACCGGGTTCTAGTCCCGGTCGGGGCGCCGGATTCTGTCCCGGTTGCCCCTCTTCCAGGCCAGCCCTCTGCTGTGGCCAGGGAGTGCAGTGGAGGATGGCCCAAGTGCTTGGGCCCTGCACCCCATGGGAGACTGGGATAAGCACCTGGCTCCTGCCTTTGGATCAGTGTGGTGCGCCGGCCGCAGCGCACCGGCCGCGGCGGCCATTGGAGGGTGAACCAACGGCAAAAGAAGACCTTTCTGTCTCTCTCTCTCTCTCACTGTCTACTCTGCCTGTAAAACACACACACACACACACACACACAAATTCCCTAGAAGTCTGCATCAAAAAATAAGGATATAGAGCAAACAGGGACTATGAGAAGTTGGAAAATTCACAGCACTCCAGAATGGTTGTTTATCAGATGAAATATGTCTTGCAGTCTGCTCTCAAGCAGGGCTCCAGAGATAGCAAAACAATTGGATTTTCCCAGTGAAGTTGTGAAACAGATGAAATTTACATATTCTAGTATAAACTCTTGTACTTTGGGACCAATTTTTAAAAAGAGGTGTTTTCTGTTATTGCATTGGTGGTAGTCAAAACTCTCATTTGAGTATATTTTATGCTCAAAGATTTCTAGCAGCACAAAATACTGATAGCACAGGTCTTGTTTTTATCATCTCTTTTTCCGCTATAAATGGATATAGATATTTAACATTCATACCCAGATGCACAAAATCTGAGTGTCTTTTATTTGAAAACTGATGAGATTTATATTGTCCCACATTGTTCACTGACTTGTGACTTGTTCCGTGTTATGTGGCATGTTATTGTTTAGTATTTATTGAATTGATTTACATTGTAATGGAAGCAGATTCATTGCATGTTTATGCAGTGTTTGTCTTTCTCCTTTTAAGGAAAGCATTATGAGTTCAACCTCAGAGTTTTATAAAAACATTCATATTGTGTCTAGTTCTAAAGGGACTTGGACTGTATAATACAGTAGGATAAAAAATAAGCAGCTACAGAAATCAAAGTAAAGGGAAAAATATGGAAGAGACAGTGAAGTGAAGCCAGAGGTGAAGTTAGTGTAAACTGATGTATTCATCAGTCTTAGACCTAGAAGTGGGCCTTAGATTAGGCTCTAAACTTTGCTGAGGCCAAATAAAGAAACACAAATTCACTACAAACTATTTCTAGAACCCTTGCGATAAATCCAGTTCAAGCTCACAGGGTCTACTGAGCCTGCAGAGATGAGGTGGAAGCCTCATAAAGAGAACACAGTAAAAAGGTATAGGATCCTCCAAATCCTGCCAAATTAGAAAATAAAGATTTGGAGGTAGATTGGGTTGTCCTTTACTTTATCCCATGAAAATCTATTTTGCATGGTGCAGACATCATCACTACCTTGTAATTGTGGAATCAAAAAGATAAAACACTTTCTGAACTTGGGGCCAGGTTTCAGTCTTCTTAGACATTGAGGGAACCCAGAGGTTCATAGTCTGATAGGAGAGTCTCTGCTAGCAGAGGCTAGAGCTTGGTCTGATTTTGGAATTGGAGAGCTCAGATCTGATCAGTTCTGAATCCTGCTTGAACTATTGGAGTTTGGGAAAGAAGCAAGTTAGAGCTGAATCATGTATACAGGACTTCTAATGAATGGTAGACTTAGCTCTCTTAATATACTAACCCGTGGCCAATGGACCTGTTACCCCCAGGAGATGCTAAGTTATCATAAATTAGATTTTATCAGACTCTTAACTTCCTGTCACTTTGAATTTTGTAGAAACTTGAACTGGATCGATTTATGCTGTATGCTCATGGCCCTGACCTATGTAGGGAATCGGACCTTCGACATGCAATGGCTAATTGTTTTGAAGCATTAATAGGTAATTTCTGTATTTATAATCCACTTTCTTGCATATTTAAACTGCGTGGAGAGCACATTAAAGTCAGTATGGGAACTTGGACAGAATTACTTGTTCCCTAAGTGTGGGAAGTCCTGAGTACAGATCCACTACCTCCTGTTTTAGTCATTTCAGCTGCTCCATCACACTTTGTCTTTTTTGTGTTTGTGGTGCCAAATTGACATACAATGTCATGTACATGCTTAGTATTTATTGAATTGAAATGAATTAAAGTGGAGATGGGTTACTTTCTAGATTTGATTCAAGATTCACATACATAACTAAATGGAAACAAGTTGCTGGAGAGGCCCTAATGTTTTCTTTGACCACATTTTAAAGCATTCTCAAGATTTTCTGATTCAAGCATCTTGAAAAGACCAAATTTTAAAAATCCTAGGGCTTGAGTCCATATAACTGTTATTTACACATCTGAAGCAAGACTGATGTAGATGCCTTTGCCTCTCACCCAGGCACTTTCTACTTTTTATCTGTAACCAGAATACAGTTAGCTGTTGGTATAGAGGAGTTCTGAAGAGTTAATTAGCAGTGATCACAAATATGCTTTACAATGAAATGTTACGGTAGATTGACAGTTTCTTGAATTTTAGGTAAATAATTAAGTACATTTTAGTTTTCAAAGGCTTTTCTACTTCTGTATCATTTTTGCCTTCTTCCTTTGAAAATGAATGTAGAAACTTCCCAATTAAAATTTCATGCTGATGATAGTAGCAAGAAAATGTTTAAAATAATTCAGTCTTTTCATCACTGTCTATTTTTTATAAATATGTGTATTTTCAGAAGGTTGGTCTCATGGAATTACAGTGCTTTGTACACATAATATTTTTGACAGTAACTGTTACCTTTGGCTCCTAAGTCAGGCAGACATAATTCAGTTCCCTCTTCCATCATTTGTCAGAGCTGCTTCTGTGGCAAGTTATCTGATCTCTGATCCACAGTTTCCCCATCTGTGAGAAGCAGACAGTGTCACTTACCTCCCAGAGTTCTTGGAAGGGTCTTAGTATCCAGTCCTGGCTGCACCCACCCAGAGCAAAGGCTCACTGCCTTCTGGTCATCTAATATGATCCTCAGTCCTGTCAGTCTTCTCTAGCACCCTCCTACTGAGGCACCCTATGCAAATAAAGACTGTAAACCTGCTTTTCACAGTTCAAGGAGCATGGGTGGGTCCCCAAACCACAGAGCTGCCATTATTATTCTCATTATTATTACTTGAACTGTTGAAAATAACAAACATACAGATTGAGCATCCCTAACCTGAAAAATCCAAAATCTGAAATGCCCTCAAATCCAAAACCTTTTGAGCTTTGACTTAATTCCAAACCTGACTTAACGTGACAGGTCACAATCAAAATGTAGGCACGCTAAAAACATCATCTAAAGCTACATTTAGAATGTTATTTAAAGTGTATATGAAATCTAAGTGACTTTTTATTTAGATTTGGTTCCCATCCCTAAGATGTCTCATTTGTATATGGAAATACTCCTAAATCTGAAAAAAAAAATTTGAAATGTTTCCATTCCCAGGCATTTTGGATAAGGGCTATTGAACCTATGTTTACTTATCAAAAACACTGGTAGTTGAATGTCTTAAAATATTACATGGAAATATACCCTTTCTGAAGTCAGGTATAAAAGTTTAATTTAAAAAAATATGAATACCCTATTCCAGAGTTATTTGATACCCAGTTAAAATGTTATTGTGGTACTTCCTGGTTATGATTAAAGTTCAGTGTGGGCACAGGGCTTAATTGTTTCAAATTAAAGGTAAAGGTTACCCTGATTTTTTTTTTAAAGATTTATTTATTTACTTGAAAGTCAGAGTTAGAGAGAGGAAGAGGGAGATACACACACACACACACAAAGAGAGAGAGAGAGAGAGAGAAATCTTCCACTCACTGGTTCACTTCTCAGGTGGCTGCAACCGCTAGCACTGGGCCAGGCCAAAGCCAGGAGCTTCATCCAGATCTCCCACAAGGGTACAGGGGCCCAAACGCTTGGGCCGTCTTCTACTGCTTTCCCAGGCCATTAGCATGGGGCTGGATTAGAAGTGGAGCAGCTAGGATACGAACTGGTGCTCATATGAGATGCTGGTGCCATAGGCAATGGTTTTACCTGTCATGCCACAATACCCGTCCAACTCTGATGTTTATCTGCAGAAACTTTCATTGATCTAGACTTAGATTTTGTCTGTTGGGCTTTTTTCTTAGATGCTTGTATATATTTGATCTGAAACATAAACTATAAATTCAGAAAATGAAACAACATTTTCTTTAATAAAGTCAAGTATTTGTGCATCATTACCTTAGTAAGGTTTATACTCACAGCTTTAATGATAGTTCATATTTGGCCTCTTTTTCATATATTAGGTTTCAATTTTAGAAAATTGAATTTTGTATTTCAGCCTAATTTGTAATTCAGAGCATAGCTTGAAAGTGGGATAATGTTACCTTTAAAACAATTGCTTCTGAACTTGTCGATTTTTTTTTTTTGGTGAATGCTTTTTGGCTTGCCTTTTTGCTTTTTATAGAGATCTGTAATTTTCTTTGAATATTAATGCAGGTTTCCTTTTGACATTCTCTTCCTTTTATCTAGGAGCTGTTTACTTGGAGGGAAGCCTGGAGGAAGCCAAGCAGTTATTTGGCCGCTTACTCTTTAATGATCCGGTATTTATCTTGAATCATTTGATTTTCCTCAGTTATATATCATTATGGAAGATTTTATTTCAGTTGGTCTTTGTATTTTGAAGAGACTATAGGCAAAACAAAATAGCCATATCTACCATAAGTGGTAGATTTCAAGTATATCCAAAATAGCCTATTCAGTCCTCGCAGATGGGAAAGTTCTCTGGGCATGTGCACAGTTTTTCATTCACCCAAACTCTGTTTCCATATGGTCACTTGTAAATTAAATATGATTATAAATATAATAGAACTTTGCTTCATTTTAAAGTAGTATCTTGACATTAATTATGATTTCATGTTTTATAATCATTGGGTACCTACCCCATGCAGGCTTGGTTGGAAGCGATAGCTTTTTGGCTTTTTTGTTTATGACTTGTTTTTATGGAAATTATGTGGACTAGATAAATGTGCATTTATTTTGGAAAGTCAGTGCATAGAGAGTTTCTGATAGGCCCATGAATAAAGATTATGAAAGTACATTTTTTAGAGCAAATTATGGTTTAAGAAAACACAATAACTTCTAAAATAGTTTCTGCTGTTACTAAAGTATTAAGCTATTAATAGTGCCAGAGATACCTTTGTAATTCTGCATATAATAGAGCATACTGGATGCCTTTTGTATCAAAACAAGTCAATTTAACATTTAAAGGGAGAGGCAAGTCTGTATTCCAAATTGAAATGTCATCGTAATGGAATGAAATAGCCCTCATGGAGCAATAAAAACCTAGGAAGCCAGTGTTTTAAGCCTTTGTGAAACCTTCAGCTTAAGTGACAGTCAGATGCTATTACTGTATTACTTTGGGTAGTTTTAAAAAAGGAATCAATGGTTTTTAAAAATATGACCTAGATGATGTTTATATCTAAGAATTTGATTTTTTTATTTGTTTTTCTAGAGATAGGTGATGATTTGGGTATATGTGAATTTCTTCTGATAGGAAAAGAATATACAGATGTTTCATATATGCCGTTTTCATCCTATACACATGTGTCTTGATTTGTATCTGTAGCAGGTGGCATATATTTTAAGACTGTGTTGAATATTAAAATATTTCTGTTTTGGCCTTTTGCCTCTTGTGGACAATTCAGCAGCCTCTTTACTCTATGTACCTCTGCAGCCTTCCCTTCACATCTCCACGTGCTGCTGAATTCCTTGCCCTACGTGTTCATTCCCTGCCCTTCCTCCCACCTTGCCTGCAGCCCCACGTGTTGTGTTTCTGTTGGCCTAAATGACGTGTGATTTTACACGTTGTATTCTTCATTGCCTCAGTCTGTGTTTAGATTCCTTTCTCCCTCTAAACTGCTTCTGTCCCACTTGTCTGCTTAGCAGGCTTATCTTATGTTTCCAGTACCTAGTGCAGTGCTGGTATGTGCAGTGTTCAATAAATGTTTGTTAGAAGAATGAAATGAGTAAATGACTAAGTGAAAAAGCAGAGTCTGAACATTATCTAACAAATGGGACAGCTGAGATTCAGAATTCATTTGAGTGTGACTTTCATGAAACAGAGCAAGGCTTAGTAATGATGGTCTTTCTACTTCAGTATCTTCAAGAGCACAAAGTTGGACATTCTAGCTCATTAGACATCTCCATATTGGTTTCCATCTGTGTAGCCTTATCTGTTAGCTATAGCATGGAGAGATGTCAGTGAACCATGGTATTTTTCTTTTCTTTCTTTCCTTTTTTTTTTTTCTTTGAATGATGGTATCATCACAGCCTAATCAGCCAGAGACAGACTTGTAGGCAGACAAGAGTTCGATTAGTGGTTCCAGTGGAGCGAGGAAGGGGTGCTGAATGGCTTCAAGGACCGTTTCCTTTTCTTTGTTGGTTGCCTTGTCTGAGGCTAGATGAGGAGAAGGGATTATTTGCAATGGAGTGCTGTCACGAGGTGAGGCAGGTTAGCAATTCAGTGGTCAGGAGCCGAGCTTCTTCTGGGTCACCCACACAGGTGCAGGGGCCCACGGACTTGGGCCATCTTCTACTGCTTTCCCAGGCCCTCGCAGAGATCTGGATCAGAAGTGGGGCAGCCAGGACTCGAACTGTCATCCATATGGGATGCCGGCACTGCAGGCGGCGGCTTTACCTGCTATGCCACCGTGCTGACCCCTAGGCCAGATATTTTAGCCTTGTCTGACCTGGTCCTGGAGTTGTCTGGCCTTGTCCAAGAAAGCATGAACATGATTTTGTCCCCATCTGGTTTGTTCCTAGTCGGGGGCATTTTCTTGGGCAGCAGGTTAGCAATCCCTTTGTGAGAGCCCTAGTCAGCCATCTCACTGCTTTCGTTTTCTGCCCTCTGCTTCTGTTCCCTGAACTGTTGGACTGACTGCCCATCCACCATTCATACTTAATTCAGTGTTGTCTTTTTTTTTTTTTTTTTTTGACAGGTACAGTTATAGACAGTGAGAGAGAGAGAGAGACAGACAGACAGACAGAAAGGTCTTCCTTCCGTTTGTTCACCCCCCAAATGGCTGCTATGATCGGCGCTGCACTGATCCAAAGCCAGGAGCCAGGTGCTTCTTCCTGGTCTCCCATGCAGGAGCAGAGGCCCAAATACTTGGGCCATCCTCCACTGCCCTCCTGGGCCACAGCTGAGAGCTGGACTGGAAGAGGAGCAGCCGGGACTAGAACCCGGTGCCCATATGAGATGCTGGCGCCGCAGGCAGAGGATTAACCAAGTAAGCCATGGAGCTGGCCCCTCAGTGTTGTCATTTTTTCAAATGCAGTTTCTGTGGTGGCCTTTCTTGCTTAAAATCCCTGGTTACTGCCTACCAAACTCCATACCACACAACCCAGCACGGAATCATTTTCCTAGCCTGACTCCCATCTGTGGTTTCAGTGTCCTTTTTTTTCATTTCCTCTTAGTGTCATTGGCCAAGGATGACTTTTTTTGTGCCTGTGTTCTTCAGGATGTACAGGTCTTGGTTCCCCGTTTGGTCCTTGCCCTCTGCTGACTTGCACAGTTCTTTGTATTCTTCAGGACTCATCAGAAGAGTTGCCTTCTCTTTGAAGCTGTGTCTGACACTCCCAGGCACAGTTGTCCCAGTGCTCATATGTGATTTCACCTTTGACATCTGCCACCACCCATCTTGGTGTAGCATTGTAGCACCTCACAGTCAGATTATTTCAACTGGATCCATTTCCTTTAATCTGAGATTAAATCTGAAATTGAGTCTGAGAAAATGGCAGCTCTGGCATAGTTTTGAGTGATTTTTCACTATTATGGGACTTACCACAATTTATTAGATTACACTTATTTACTTTTATTTTTCTCTGTAAGGCTCCTTTGAGGACAGGGAAGGTGTCTCATTCATTTTGATAATCTTATACATAAGAGGTTTCAATGAAAATATGCTGCATAAACAAATGACCCAGTTAGTCAGCTGTGAACGTTTTCCAGAGATGCGAACTGAAGGTAGCCACTAGGATTCCAGTCTGGAGCTTTTCTAGTTTGTTCTCTCTGACGCCAAGGGGCAGTGTGCAGGGTAGCTGAAAGGAAGTGGACACAATGGACATAGTCTCGTCATGAGATGTGTGCTGTTGCATCTGAATGGCTGGCTGTGACTATCAAAGGAGAAATGGTTTTGTTGAGTGGAAAACACACAGGAAAAGGGAGAAAGATGACTGAAGATGTTCTGACCCCTGAATATTCTGGAGGTGGGGATGGATTGGTTGCAGGATATAGCTGTTTGTCGGTGTTGGTATCCTCAATGATGAGCAGTATTTTCGGTGAGTCTGCACTGAGTTTAATGCTCTATTGCATTGCTCATTGAAACATCAGAGGACACTTTGAAGTTGGTGCTCGACTTCTTCGGCTTATCCTTGAGGAAATGGAGGCTTAGTAAGTGGATTGCCAGTGTGGAATCAGAATGAACCCGAGGCAGCCTGACTCCAAGCCTGCCACCTTCCCTGACACCATTGTCCCTAGTCTTCAGTGAAAGGTGGAAAGCTATTATTTGGTCATGTTGTGTATGAGGTGAAGATGGCCGTAAAGTATTTTTATGGACGTGGGGCTTGGATAAGCAGTCAGCAGTGTTGCAGAAATGAACGAGTCATCCAAACCGAGGTGGTGGAGTTCTCCAGAGGGGCTTGGTAATGTGCTGGCCAGGCAGGGGGCTGCAGTTTGGTAAATGCTCGCGTAGCGGAGGAGAAGGGAAGGAAGCAAGGCAAGGACACAAAAGAGTTGTAAGCAGGGAGTGACATTCAGCATAATTCACAGGGAATGCCGGGAAAGCTTACTGAGTTGGTTAAGGGAGGTCCTTTAAAATGCCTGCAAAGACCAGTCTTATATTTCAGCACTTTGTTTTTTTTTAATTTTTTTTTAATTTTTTTATTTTTTGACAGGCAGAGTAGACAGTGAGAGAGAGAGACAGAGAGAAAGGTCTTCCTTTGCTGTTGGTTCACCCTCCAATGGCCGCCGCGGTTGGTGCGCTGCAGCTGGCGCACCGCGCTGATCCGATGGCAAGAGCCAGGTACTTATCCTGGTCTCCCATGGAGTGCAGGGCCCAAGGACTTGGGTCATCCTCCACTGTACTCCCTGGCCACAGCAGAGAGCTGGCCTGGAAGAGGGGCAACCGGGACAGAATCCGGTGCCCTGACCGGGACTAGAACCTGGTGTGCCGGCGCTGCAAGGTGGAGGATTAGCCTAGTGAGCCACGGCGCCGGCCAGCACTTTGTTTTTAATATTGGCTAAGTACCCCCAAAAGTATTTTATCAGGATGCAAGTTGTACAAAAACACCAAGTTTTTTTATTTCATTTTTATCACCCTATGTGTTACAAGTGATACTAAATTTCCCTCTACTCTCTTCCCCTCTCTGCCAAAAAAGCTTTTTAATGAATATTTCCCCCTCTCTTTTTTAATGTCATTTATTTAAAAAACTTAACATCAAGACCCGAAAGTAGATTAAGTCAAAGGCTCCCTAGAGTCTGAAACTGGAAGGAAGACACTTTAATCCTGAGGAAATTCTAATTATAACTGCTTTGAGATTTAACTCAATGGATACAATAATGTGCTAGGGTTTTCCATAAAATTCATTCATTACCATATTTCAAGTAAACACTTGTAGGTGCACGCAAAGTGCGGTCTCATCAGTGCAGGACTTCGTGAACTCTGGGGTATTTTCCACTCCACCTTACGAAGCGCCTATGCTAATGAATTAGTACCTAAAATAAAAGACATTTGAGATGAGCTTTAATTACAGAAGACACAGCTGATGCACTTTGCTGAGGAATGGCAGGCTCAAAAATATGATTAAAACAGCAGCTTAATCCAGTGTATTAGGTTAAGCAAATGTGTAACTTAGTTTTTAAAGGTGTCTTTGACTTCTGCTGGGGGGAAGAGGGTTGCTCTCTTCCTCCCCAGCTTAATAGGCTAATTAGACTCAGTACAGGCAGTTTGAGTGGTGAATACACTTTAAAAAAAATTAGTTTGCTACCACTATTGAATTTGCAATAAGTGGAGTCAGCATCTGAAATAGTTCAGTATTTCAAATAATGACATTTTATTTAGTACTCCAGAGTGTGTTAAATGGCTCCCCTGAGCATTAAAGGCACCACTCCATTTTCCAGGACCTTCGCGAAGTCTGGCTCAATTATCCTCTCCACCCACTCCAAGTAAGTATGACCTTTCTGTCTGCAGTGTGCTTTACGGCTCCAGCTATTCGTTCTCCTTTCCTGGGCCTTTTGTCCTCTGCCTGCTTTTATCCTTTGGTTCCCTTCCGTGACATTATAAAGCTTAGGTGTCAGAGGTAGAACACTTGGGAACATATAATACAAGGTTCCCACATATGGCAGGTGTGTGCCTGGAATGGTGGTGGGGGGCACTAATAGGAGAGTAGCTCTGTAGTCAGCAGCCCCTGCCCCACCCAGCAAAAGGTGACATCTGTGTGTCATCATGCCTGAAATTGTAATAGAGAAGCAAGTCTGGCCATACTGAAAAAAAAAAAAAAAAAAAAGGCAGGACAAACACTAAATTAACATTGCTGAATTAGAAGCTAAATTGGATCTTAGAAATTGAGGACTTGGAATCAGATTACATACACCTTGTTATAAATTAAAACTTTACTGCAGTGTGATGGCTTTTTACTCAAAATTTTGGAGTTTAAAAGATCTACACATGTGGTAACATCCTTTCCCCCAATTTCTTTTCTTTTAAATTTCTACTTCTATGCTTTGTTTCTGTTTTACTTTAAAATAAATACATATGTATACTTATATGTACATGGTTTCATTTGTGTATATAAGACAAGGCCAGTCTCTAATGATTGAATCTCATGAGAGGTTTTAACATTGTTAATCGTATTCAGAGTATTTTAAAATAGTGTATTAATGATAGGAAGTTGCCCGAAGTTACTGGAAATGTTCATTTTAGTTATACTTTTCGAGTTTGCTCCCTGCCAGTTGTTAAAGGATTCTTGTTATGGGCAGTACCACCTGTCTAGTGGTATAATAATCTCCAAAGTCAGCTGAATTCAGTTTTAATGATGCTCATCTGCCAAAATAGTTTGGTCCCTCGAAGACACACAGTAGTCAAGAATCTGTAAGGCAGGGGTTCTCAAAAGGCAGTCCCCAGACCAGCAGCATCTGCATTCCCCGGGAACTTGTCGGGCTGGCAGATTCTCCATCCTCACTGCAGACATAGGTAATCAGTAACTCTGGAGGTGAGGCCCAGCCATCTGCGTTTAACAAGCCCTGCAAGTGTTCTCCCAACTCCCACGCCCGAGGACTGCTGCTTTGCTGGATGTGTGTACGCTCTACCAGCTGTTCTTCGGCTTAGCTCTTCCTGGGAGAGTTGGTATAATAGTTGGGATTTTGAACTGTCTATGTATAGTACTTGGCCTTGAAATGTGAGAGAAGACTGGAAAATATTATATGAGCCTTCTTTAAATATTAAGTTTGTTTGCCATTCTAAGAGATGAGGAAGAAAGTGCCATGTTTTACTGGCATTACAGAAATTTCAACCCTTGGGAGAAGGAATTTTAGAAAACATTGTCCTAGCATTGATAATTAGTCTCATAGCCAAAAATTACATGTGATTTTTATTTGCTCCTGTTTTCCTGTAGCTACAAGAGCCAAATACTGACCGACAACTCATTGAAACGTCTCCAGTTCTGCAGAAACTCACTGAGTTTGAAGAAGCAATTGGAGTGATTTTTACTCATGTCCGACTGCTGGCAAGGGCGTTCACACTGAGAACTGTGGGATTTAACCATCTGACCCTGTGAGTCAGAAGTACTTGTGTAGCCCCAACGTGACCATTTAGAAGAGGCAGTCCTAGACCTTCCTGTATGCCCTTCAAAGGAATTGAGATTCCAGACGTATTTCTGGGAGAGTCACATTGTGAGACAGATGAACCACCAGCCACTGGCGTGAGCCAGGGGATGTGCTCCAACCCAGTGTTTTTGATCTCATTGCTATGCATCTTGTTTCTTCGTGAAGTTTTGAGAAATGTGAAGGAAGGAAAACTTTTTCCCATAGAGGCCCAGATATTAAATATTTTAGACTTTGCAGGCCTGTGGTCTGTGTGTGATTCGACTCTGCCACATAGCATGAAAGCAGCCATACATGAAACCAAGGAACATAGCTATGTTTCAATAAACTTTGCTCATGGAGCAGACCGTGGACTGGATCTGACCCTGTCGCCTGCTCTGAGGGAATGACTTGATGAGGAGCCAGTGAAATTGTTAAGAAAATAAGCAACATTTTATATCTTTGGGGTTGTTATTTATTCAGTTTTTGGCTCTCCTCCCTCAAATATTCTCAACTGTCTTTAAAGATTAAAGGTTGTTACCAGATTCTTTTTTTAGTGTCCTTAAAATGAAATTGCAAATTTGAGTAATATGATATATATTTCAATAGCTTGAGCAAAGAAAATTCTTGGGTCTTTTAACTTTGTTTTGTTACAAGATTATTGTCTGTATTATGCTTTCTTTTTTTAAGGTTCATTTATTTGAAAGTCAGGAGTGGGCCGGCGCCGCGGCTCACTAGGCTAATCCTCCGCCTTGCGGTGCCGGCACACCGGGTTCTAGTCCTGGTTGGGGCGCCGGATTCTGTCCCGGTTGCCCCTCTTCCAGGCCAGCTCTCTGCTGTGGCCAGGGAGTGCAGTGGAGGATGGCCCAAGTGCTTGGGCCCTGCACTCCATGGGAGACCAGGATAAATACCTGGCTCCTGCCATCGGATCAGCGCGGTGCGCCGGCCACGCTGGCCATTGGAGGGTGAACCAACGGCAAAGGAAGACCTTTCTCTCATCTCTCTCTCTCACTGTCCACTCTGCCTGTCAAAAAAAAAAAAAAGAGAGAGAGAGAGAGAAAGGAGTGGCAGAGAGAGAGGGAGACACAGAAAGAGCTTTTCCTTCTGCTGGTTCACTCCCCAAATGACCTCAAAAGCCAGTTAGGACAGGCTGAAGCTAGCAGCCTGGAGCTCCATCCAGGTCTTCCATGTGGGTTGCAGGACCCCAAGTATTTGGGCCATTATCCACTGCTTTTCCAGGCTCTTCAGCCAGGAGCTGGATCAGAAGTGCAGCAGCTGGGACTTGAACTGGCTCTTTGATATGGGATGCTGGCATCACAGGTGGCGGCTTAACTTGTAGGACAATGTTGGCCTGTATACTTTATTTTTTAATTGATATCAGCTGCTGCCCAATCTCTGCTTGCCAGTCTGTGTAAGTGGTCATTTAATCCTTTCATAGTATTCACTGTATTATTTGTTGAAATTCAACCCATCTTAACTCAGATCCTTTCTCAATTGGGGGCCTTAGGGAACTAAACTTAATTTTGTGCTTTAAAAGAAGAGGAATATGTTGCATTTTTTAAAATTCTGAATTTTTTTTTTGAAATCTACAAATGCTTATTGCTGTCTTTCTGTTGATGTTTCTTCTTTTTTTCCAGAGGCCACAATCAGAGGATGGAATTCCTGGGTGACTCAATAATGCAGCTGGTAGCCACAGAGTACTTATTCATTCACTTTCCAGATCATCACGAAGGACATTTAACTGTGAGTTTGTGTTAAGCCACTCCCTCCATGAAGACTGCTCTGTTATTGGAAATAAAGGGTGGAAAGGCCACACACATCCATATAATTAGTGATTTAGTTGTTAGTGACTTTAACATATCATAGGGCTTTAGGGCTTTTCTCATTTCTTTGTGCAAATTGTATGCAAAGCAAGTATGCATTGAGAATTTATTGTATTTTATGTACTCCTTCATGGAATTATTGCTTGCTCAGTGCAGGACATGGAACTAGGTATCATATGGAATGCAAAGTTTAGTTGACACTGTGTCTATCCAAAAGGAATTTTAAAATTACTAAGAGATTAAGGTGTAAGTAAATAACGAAATACTTATAAATGCTATACTATACATGTATTGTGTATATATCCACATATAAAATATTGCTAAAAAGTATGAGTAACTAATTAAATGCAAATGAGAACATGGTAAATATTGCAAAGAGGTAGGTAAATTGTAGCACTTGTGCAGTTTAGGAAAAGATAATATTTCTTTTAGCTATGGATGTCACAGAAGGCTTCCTGGTATGATGAGGTTTGAGCCTTTAAAGATGGGTAGGATTTGGCCACTGGGAGTTGGTGGGAGGAAATTTCTGTGCACTGGACCTGCAGAAGTAAGGGCATGGCGTGAAAACTCAGAAGACTGACAGGCAGCAGCGACTGTTTGGCTAGATCATGGCAGAGCGAAAGGGAGTTACACAGACGATGTTTGATTTATGAACAAATGAAATGGTCCCCATTCCTCTGATTTCTGTTTCATTTTCTCAGACTTCATTGAGGGTTTTTATTTGCTGTGTACTGTTTTTACTCTGTGAAATTGATCAATAATGTTCACCTGGAAACCAGGCATGATGATCCCTCAAAGGCCTAAGGAGTGACCTTTGAGAAGTCTGTTGGGAATTAAGTATGGCGACAACAAATGCTTTTACTGGGTGAAGAAAAATAGTGGTACACTATATGATACTTTGTTCAGTTTCTGTTTTTTTGTTACGTTAAAGCAAATAACCAATCCTTCATACTTTGCTTCTTTATAATTTGAATGCATGTTTTGCCTTGAATAGAATTAGATCTCATTTCTGCACCCCTGAACCCTAGAAATAGTTTACAGGAAATATAAATATTGGAATTGGGGAGAATACAATGATTTGGCTGTGTATAGATGTAATTTTCAGTAGCATTTCCCTCAATGAATACTTACTGAGCTTCTGGTGTATTCCATATACCATTACAAGTGCCGAGGAATCAGCAGTAGGCTTTTTTTTTTTTTTTTTGGACAGGCAGAGTTAGAGAGACAGAGAGAAAGGTCTTCCTTTTTCCAATGGTTCACCCCCTAAGTGGCCGCTACGGCCAGTGCGCTGCACTGATCCGAAGACAGGAGCCAGGTGCTTCCTCCTGGTCTCCCATGCGGGTGCAGGGCCCAAGGACCAGGGCCATCCTCCACTGCACTCCCGAGCTGGACTGGAAGAGGAGCATCCGGGACAGAATCCAGCGCGCCCCGACCAGGACTAGAACCTGGGGTACCGGCGCCGCAGGTGGAGGATTAGCCTAGTGAGCCACGGCGCCGGTCAGCAGTTTTATTTTAGATTAACACTTTGTTTACCACTTAAAGTTGACTGCTTTTGGATGGACAAGAAGATATTTCTTCATGAATTAGTATTCATAAGAAAATGTGAGCATTTATGAGAAAGGGACAAGTGCCTGGTATCCTGCTGTCCATCAGGAAAACAATAACTTGCATGGTCAGCATCCTCTGTTAGAGAGTAGACTTCCTAGGTGTCATATTATCCGGCTGGTCTGAAGAGTGGCTGATCCAAACCAAATAGCTTGAGGCAGTAAATTCGTGTGGAGACCATTGTTGAAAATATATAGTGTAAGTGCACGCATTCCCTCTTGGTATTTCTATAAAAATTAATTGTGAACTCTGGGATCTTAGGGAAATGGAATGGTATAAATCTGCAAGTTCACGGCTTCCCACCTGCTCATTGTATGCACTATCCTCCACTATTCCCTGCATTGAACAGATGATGAAACCAAAGCTCAGAAAGGCAGGAGTCCTGCCCATGGTGTAGATAAAGCCAACACCAGGACTCTGCTAGAGACCGTGGTTCTGGTTTCTTTCTAAGTCAGATTGAATACCAGAAATACGGTTTTATCCAAATTGTGGTTATCGGCCTTGCCATCTTAAAAGTAGAGAATTTTAGGCTAGCTTGTTTGCCAGGATGGCATTAACAGATGACAGTATTGTGATTTGATGGTCTCTATCATGCAGCACTTCGTGGGTTTCCTGTACCTTTTAGCTACTCTGTCTTAGCCTGCTTTGCAGACCCTTCTTATTCTCTACAGCTGATACATATTCCACTCCACCCTTGGCAAGGTTCCCTCCTTACAAGCAGCCTTTTCCATGCACATTGGCAGATGACTTCTACAGGGGTCTCTTCAGTTCCCCCGGCGTTCTGAGCTCCATTCCCAGCTGCTTTCTCAGCATCCTCACATATCCAAGACTGAATCTGTAATCTTCTCCCTCCAGCATGCTGTGAATAGTTGAACGGCAGCATTGTCTATCCTGAGTTGTATATTAGAAACTCAGGTTCCTGCCCTACCTTCCTTCCCCGAATTACAGTCCTGTCAAGTCCTGACATCATTGCTCCTTGAGTGCCTCTTGAATCTGTTCCCTCTCTGTCTCCATCACCCACATCCTCTCTTCCATCCATTGTAGTAATTTCTGCCTGGCTATCAAAATATTTCAGGAATGCCATTGACACCCAGTTGAAAGGAGCACAGGGTGGTGCATGATCCTTGTGCAAGAAGAGTGGGCTCCCTAGATCCCCAGATTTCCCCTGGGATGTCTGCTGCTATTTGAAAAGCTTGCCTTTGCTGTTATTACAGGCATTTTTATACTCTGCCTATGAGACGGACAGTCTTCCAAGCAGAAGTGCTCCAGAGGCCCAGGTCTCAGGCCTCTTGACGTAACCTGGGGTTTCACACACTGCTGTTCTGGTACCAGCTTGTGCCTCAGGCAGTCCATTTTCCATCTTTCAGTTAGAGGAGTCCTTTTATGATAGCTCTCCTGGGCCTACACCAGCCATTGTCCCATCTGTCCACTTCTCTCATTTCTCTTCATCTCCCCAACTTCCTAATATCAGAGTTGCCTCAGTTCTTGGTGGTCAGAGTTCTTGTCTGTTGACTTTCTCTTCAGCAGTGATCTCATTCCATCTGTCTCATAGCTTTGAATACATCTGTCTGCTGATTCCTGATTTATATCTAAAGCCTTTTCTTCCTTGAACTTCAGACCCCTGTGTCTACTGAATGTGGATGTACTCAAATATTAGATATAGAAATACTGTCGAATTTCTAGTTGGATTTCTGATAGACATCTGAAACTGAATGTGTAAAAACAAAGTGATTTTCATCCCAAGCCTGCATTTCTCTCTGTGTTCTCCATATCAGGATCAATTCATTTCACCAGTTGCTGGGGTCATTCTTAACCCTTGTCTTTCTGTCAGACTTTCTAGCCCATTGATTTTACCTATGTCATATCATACTCATAATCCATTGATTTTACCTTCTGAGTATATGCTGAATCTGACTACTTCTCACCAGCTTCACTGGTAACACCTTAGTTCAAGCCACTTTTCTAAATTACAGCCATTGCCACCCAACTGATACCCCCACTGTCCCCCGGTCTACTTTCAGCCCTACAGCTAGAGGGATCATTTTTTAAAGGGAAGTCAAACCTTCCTGTCTCAAGGGTAAAGACAGTGCTGTTCCAGTCATACTGCGTGATCCAGTTCCCTGCTGCCGTCTCTGGCTTTGTCTCTTCACATCGACCTCCGTGCAGTTCCTGCAGGCTGCTAAGCAGGCCCTCGCCTTGGTGCCTTTGCACAGACTGTTTCCTCTGGCTGCGGCATCCTCTCCTGGTAATGTATGTGGCAAGTCCCTCACCTCCCTGATCCTGTGTCATCCTGTCAGTCTGTCTTTATGCCACCCTTAATAGGCAAGCTCTTCCCCTTGTCTCTAGCACGCCTCCCTCAGCCTGGAACCGCGTTGCTGTTTCCTCCTTAGCACATAGTGTTTATTTTACGTGTTTATGGTCTGTCTTCCCCCATAAAGTGATACACTCCACAAGGGCAAGGATTTTTGTCTGTTTCTTTGTCCTGATTCCTTGGGTCCTTGAGGAGTTCCAGGCATATCAGTGCCCAGCAAGTACACTTTGAATAAACGGTTATCCTATCCCAGCTTAACACTCTTCAGTTGTTCTTTGGATACTGACTAAAGAATAAGCCTGGGGCAGATGCTGTGGCGAGTGGGTCCTGTGGCATCGGCATTCATATGGGTGCTGATTCGAGTCCCCACTGCTCCACTTCCGATCCAGCTACCTGCTGATGTGCCTGGCAAAACAGCAGAGGATGGCTCAAGTCCTTGAGCACCTGCATCCATGTGGGAGACCTGGAAGAAACTCTTGGCTCCTGGCTTCCATATAGCCCAGCCCTGGCCATTGTGGACATTTGGGGAGTGAACCAGGAGACAGAAGATGGATCTCTCTCTCTCTCTCTTTCTTTCTCTCTCTCTTTCTTTCCTCCCCTCCCTTTCCCTCTCCCTCTCCTTCTGCCTTTGCCCTTGCCTCTCCTTCTCTATAACTCTGACTTTCTAATAAATAAATAAATCCTTAAGAAATAATAAAAAGATTAAGCCTGGGTGTCTGGGCTGGCCCACATGTCACACGCTTTTCTCACCCTGCACCTCTGCACTGACCTCCTTGGCGTTTCTCCAGGCCCCCTCCGGCCGTCAGGCCCTTGTACCTGCTGTTCTACCTGAAAACCATTCTGTTTCTGGCTCTTGCTCCCGTTTGGCTGAAGCCTCCTAGTCTTCATTCAGAGGTCAGTTCCAGTGTGACTTCTGTGTGCAGGAGAAACTTCCCTGAGGAGCCGCCCCTTGCAACGCCTTCTCATTGAAATTCCAAGTTCTTCTCCTTCCTGGCACTTACTCG